GAGAGAGAGAGAGAGAGAGAGAGAGAGAGAGAGAGAGAGAGAGAGAGAGAGAGAGAGAGAGAGAGTTCGCATTGATCAGTTGTCTCCACGACGAATGAATTATCTGTTATATTTGTTTTTTTTGCGAGCGAAACTGCAACAGGTCATCTAGTTAATACATAATAAACACAAGACAAAGAGCATATATAAATGCAGCATTGAGATATATAAATGCAGCATTGAGAGGATTTGGGAGATGTTTTTGAGATTTTGCTTGTTTATTGTGTGTGTCATAGTTGCAATACACTCAGAAAACGCATCACTGGGTCGGGCTTTCACTGACTTGTGTGTGTGTGTGTGTGTGTGTGTGTGTGTGTGTGTGTGTGTGTGTGTCCAGGAAGAAGAAGGCCATCCACAAAACCACAACCACAGATGATAAGAGGTTGCAGGGCACTCTGAAGAGGCTTGGGCTCAACACCGTCCCAGGCATCGAAGAAGTGAACATCTTCAAGAATGACAGTGTGGTCCACTTTGTTAATCCCAAAGGTGAATCAAAGAAGAAGAGCTCATTATTTCTCTCCTTGTCTCGTAGATGTCCCCTGTTGTCCCCTGTGCCCCTCCAGAGATTCCTTTTCTGGAAATCCCCTTGGGTAATGTGTAGGCTCTTTTGGTGGTTTGTATCTCATTAATAGGTGCTCCCGGTCCTCGCGGCTCTCTCTCTCCCTCTATATATGTACATAGGCCATTCTTCACTCTGTTTTAATTAAAGGCAGCAGACAAGTGCTACGTTCGTGTTCCGTTGTGGAAGGATCGCCAGAGCCGAGTGTACGTTGTGATACCGGTCCTTTTTCTTTTCGAAAGGGCGACACCCTTAAGATATCATCGCGAAACTGACCAGCTCCAGGTAAGTCAGGAGTTTCAGTCATTGGTTCCGCCGGTCGGGATTCGAACTCAGGTCTGCATTTCAAATTTTTTCAACGGTTTATGGGTGCGCCAACTGACCTAAGATACCTCTCTGTTGCGTTGAGGAGTGTGTTTTTCTTTCGTCCGTGGTTTGACAAGGTGTGGATGAAGTAACTCGTTACTTGGTGTGTCTGGATTGCGTGCAGTGCAAGCTTCCATAGGAGCGAACACGTATGTCATCAGTGGAGCTTCACAGACAAAGAGTACGTATGGTGACTTACTCACCCGGGTGCCTCCTCTCCTTTGCTTTGCACGACTTTGCGTCTTTTCCTGAAAATCCCCCTTTATATAATGGGTCAGCGGGTGAGTGAGTGGTTGAGGAGGGAGGGTGTTGCTGTCCCAAGCTGCGCCGTATTCAATATATCATCTAGGCTACCAGAGTGGCCCGGGGACCACTTGCCCGACCAGATAAAAAAAAGCAAAAACAAACAAAAAAATATAGCCCCTCGTTTGTTGTCCTCTTCTCCCTCTCTACCTGCGGTTTACCATTCAGCTCTGTCTGACGATATATACCACGACTTAGCTAGCACCCTGCTACAGTTTTCTCTGGTCAGGTCGAGCGGCAGTGGTCGGGGCGGTTACTATGCGGCCATGCTGTGCCTCTAGTGCCAGCGGCGTGTCTGGAGTGTATTTTTTGGCTGTGATGGACCGTTCTTTGTTTCGTGGGTGTTTTGCTGGCTTGTGATGGGGTGTGAACCGACAGTCTTTAGAGTTTTCCATCTGGTGTGGGTGAGTGATAATCTGCTTTGATTTTTGTCACAGGTACCTTGAGGGCAGTGGTTGGTGGTCCCACCACCTCAGAGGGGTATCATCAGTTGTCGGGCAGTCGTTGATGCTTAACCACAGCCGAGGTTAAGGTGGATTATCACTTACAGTGTAATCAGTTAGGGGATTCTGCAGACTGTTGAGGGTTCAGCCTGCACTGATGAGTCGATGAAACTCCGATGAAACAGTTTGTCACAGCCCCTCGTTTGTTGTCCTCTTCTCACTCTCTGCTTACGGTTTACCTGGCAGCTCTGTCTGACGATATATATGTTTATTGAACTTTATTTTAGTTTATTTTTTTATTTTGAACACAGTGATCCGGGCCGCCCGGCTGGTAACCATACAATATTCTGCCACGGCCACAATAGGTCGAAAACTCAAATTGAGTACTGCTGCAAAGGGTTTTCAAACGTTTCTCTTTTCCACTTTCCATTACCCGCGGGGCGGGCTCGACCCTATCAAAGGATCGAAGAGAAGGCGCTAACGCAGAGTTCTGAATCTTACTTGTGTGGGGGGGCGCTGTAAGCTTTTTCAACTTGGACGCTGTTGATGTTGATTGCACAAAAGCAAGCTCTGTTGCCGTTCGATCTTGCTACCTCTTGGGCCTACCTCGTGGGCCTACCTCTTGGGCCCTGTGTCACTTCTGTAATTCTGCTATTCGCTGCCTCTTTCTTCTTTTGGAGTCTGTTATGTGCTGCCTCTTTCTTCTTTTGGAGTCTGCTATGCGCTGCCTCTTTCTTCTTTTGGAGTCTGACTTGTGTGATTTGTCTGAATGTCGATGCTGCTTGCGGAACTACAAGCTCTGTTGCCGTATGATCGTGCTACCTCTTGGGCCTTGTGTGACTTGTGTTATTCTGCTGTGCGCTGCCTCTTTCTTCTTTCAGAGTCTGACTCGTGTGTTTTGTCCGCCCTTTATGTGTCCTGCAGAACTTCAAGATCTGTTGCCTGGGATCATCAACCAACTTGGTGAGTATTTGCGTCTCCGTCTCCGTCTTCGTCTTCGTCTTCGTCTTCGTCTTCGTCTTCGTCTTTGTCTTCGTCTTCGTCTTCGTCTTCGTCTTCGTCTTCGTCCTCTCTCTACTTGATTGACTCTGGTTCCCACTTTTATTCACTGTGCCCCCTGCAGTCTGTCATTGCTTCCTTTCCGAACGAAAGTCATTGACAAATCATAGATGGGGCCTGGCATCGGCGCAATTGGTGGACATCTAACGGAGGGGCACATGGTAGGGTCATGGGCTAATAGGACATACCCTGATGCGCTCATCATTTCCGGCTGCGTAATTGAGGAGCGAATGACGACAGTGATCTTGCCGTGCTTGCTGTGTGGAAGCTTTCTGCTGAACTCTGCGAATGTTCTTTTTGCCGTGAGTAGTCACATCTGAAAGGATTCACGTGCTGCCGCAGTACAGCCCCGGTACCTTGTCCCGTTTTCTTTTGTACCTTAGGGCCAAAGTAGAACTGTTCGGTAGGTATTGTACGGGACGAAATAGATCTGATACAATAATACCTGTAGGAACAGTAGAGGGTCCTAGAAGTCAAGTAGGTAGGGAGTCGCTGTGGGTACAGTCCCGGTCCCATTGCAGCTCAGTCCCAGGGAAAGGCCAGGACAGATTGAATCTCTGTCGGACGCAGCAGGGCCTGGCAGGAAGAGTCTGGAATCACGTGGGAGGCAGAGGCACAGCCACAAAAGGGAGGCCGGCGTCAGGAACCTCCTCTGCCGTGTTCCTGGGCGCCAAGATCTTGGAACGTGAATGGTGCCGGGCGAGAGTGGTCGTGGACGATGCTGGGCGCCATAGCTGTGAGCTTGCATAGTATGCGCAGAGAGAGAGAGAGAGAGAGAGAGAGAGAGAGAGAGAGAGAGAGAGAGAGAGAGAGAGAGAGAGAGAGAGAGAGAGAGAGAGAGGAATTCATAGAGTGATCGCACAACCTGGGCATAGTAGTTTTAGTAGCAGGAGAGAGAGAGAGGAGTGGAGGGTAATGTACCTGCTTGTTGTTGTTGCTGGTGGCCATAGCTGCGATCTTGAGAAACCTGTGTATATCATTTCAAGTTGTAATTAAGTTTTGTGCGTGCTCGTATCGTATCGTGCTGTTGCGGCGTGGATCTTGATCCGCCGGAAGACTGATCAATTCACATGGATATAAGCAAAGAGGAAGAGAAGAAGAAGAAGAAGAAGAAGAAGAAGAAGAAGAAGAAGAAGAAGATGGAGACGAAGAAGAAAGAGGAAGAAAGAAGAAGAAGAAACAAAACTGCAAAAATAAAGAAGAAAGAGGATGATGTGGAGTTGAGAGGTGGAGGAGGTGGGAAGTGCAAAGATTTCAGGATAGGCATTGGAAAGTGCAGGGCGAACAGAAGAGCAGTGGTACAGCCTTATTACCTGAATATAGCGTGCCATGGTGGTTTGAACGGGTAAAGCCCCTACTGGGTTTTCTATTTGTTTCGAATGCCTAGGTGTCCTATTAAAATGGGCATGAGCGCATTCTTGCTTCTCCCGGTCGAGTCGCACAAGGGGTACGATCCATTTTGAAACTTGGCTTTTTGATTTGGCCTATCGGTTAAGCATCAAAATGGATGGGGTACTCCAGTATTTTGAACGGTGCGCATATGATGATGAGCTAATGACTATGATGATTATTCTTCGGTTGCTCTTTTCTATTTTTAGACCACCACTACCTCTCAGAGGCAAAAGTCTACATCGAAAGAATAACCCATAGTATACTGCACTCTTCGAAGACCGGGTGGCACCGGAGCAAAATAGCCAGTAGCGCCAGCCAAAACAAAGGAAAAAGGTCTTGCTGATGCTTCGGCGAAGCGTGGCGGTCCTCAGTTCTTTTCCGCCTTGGTGAAAAGAGGCTCCGCGGTAGTGGTGGTTTCAGGGGGTTCCAACTTGTGGGTCTGGTTTTCTTTTTTCCTTTCCCCCCCCCCTCTTTTAAAAGGGCGACGACCTTAAGATATCATCGTGGAACGGACCGGTCCCAAGTAATTCAGAAAATTCCTTCAACAGATTACATCCATCGGATTCCATCCGGATTTGAACTCACGTCTGTATTGCAACAGTTCATGAACTCACTGTGGGTTTGGTGCCCCTGGCTGCCTATGTTTCACTGAAAAAAGCCTTTAATAGACAACAATGTCACACCCTTCCACACTCTGACGACAAATAGGGTTTTGTCACGCTTGTGGTCTAGTAGCTTGTGTGGATTTTGCACCTTTGTAGTAGCACACACGAAGTGACATCTAGTTCAAGTCCGAGGGGGCTTACATCATCACACTGCAAGTGTAGTGTCACTCCCATAACCGCTTTCCGGCAGGTGATCCTCCCCACCGATAGATGGAGCCTCTCCCTAAGTGCTAGCGGTGTCTACTCTTACCTGCACCACTACCACTGGAGGGGGCGTTTTGTAAAAAAATAAAATAAAAATCTCTCTCTCTCTCTCTCTCTCTCTCTCTCTCTCTCTCTCTCTCTCTCTCTCT